TGTCATTGTGTGCCCAGATGCAGAGGTCAGTCAGTGGATTCCTTCATGACAAGCTGAGGAATCAAATGTTTTTCATGGCCTCACCCTTTTACACCTACGCCTCCCAGGTAGTACCCCCCCCCCCCCACACACACACACACGCACGCACACACACACGAGGTGAAGCAGAGAAAGGAGAGCTTAGAGTGAAGGACTTAAAGCCGGGGTAGAGAAAACTGATCTGCTGGAAGAATTCGTCGTGAAACCCGGCACGTCTTTTGGCCATTTGGGCTCAGCAAGAGCAGCAAACACTCCACTCACTGTGGCAGAGTTCTGGCCCACATCCAAATCAGGAGAATGCCACCAGTTCTTCCTGCGTGTGACCACAGAACAGACTTACAGGCTTAAAAAGATGCTGTTTCCTCGTCTCTGAAAACAACTCCTTGATTTGAGATTAAAGCCGCTGAAGCGTTTCCACTGCGTGATCGACGGCTTTAGACTGGAACTACAGCAAACAGAGCCTATCCACTTTATTCCTGGGCTCTACTGTCTAAATGATGATGGGTACAACTTCATGTCAGACACCAAAAGTAGCAGTAACCATTGGTATAAAGTATAATACTGAATAGTGCAATGAAGTGTGTTGTATGACTCCACAGATCAAACTTTTTGTGTGGAACCATAAGAGGGCAGTATTGAACTGTGTACAACACATTTCTAATGGAGGTGTTTGCCTACTACAGTAATGCCCTAAGATTGTGCTGAAACACCTTAACAGCTCAAAAGATGGATGAATTTCATAGTTTTAGCACAAAGAACATGAAACCACAGAAGAGAGTTGTGTCAGAGTACTACACAAGTACTACACTTTCAGTCCTCTGCTGGTTCTACTTCTGTACGATTCCTCTATTCTCCTCAGTGGAAAAATAAAAATTGTTTGTCCTCACTGATAACAACTCCATCCATTATCTTTTCCCGTTTTTTTCCTTTTGGGGTCGCGGGGGTCACTGATGCCCATGTCCAGCAGTCACTGGGCGAGAGGTGGAGGCCACCCTGGACAGGTCTCCAGTCAATCACAGGGACACAGTTTTAGAGATAAACTAGAGACAGTTTAGAGTTACCAATCTTCAACGCCGGTTCTTCTCCCCAACCGGGCACGGCCGGGGAACACTGTAAGAACAGTTACATAGAAGCCGATAAACGGCTCTTTTCATGCCAGCATCCCATGGGTCAGTGTGGACGAAGCCCCCACACAGGATACGGCGGTATATACATATATAT